AAACCGAAGAAATCGTCGACCTTCACCAGCGAACAAATAAATCAATACATTAAGGAAGCTACAGATGGAAAATATTTGTTTCCGAATGTACCATAACTCCGCTATTTCCTTTTGGTAATTTTTTATTGAAATTTTGCAACAATTTTTGAAATACTAAGACAACAAAAAGGTTAAAACTGAATTATTCAACCGTACCAGCCAATAGCCAATCTTATTTCATTTGTCAGACGCCTCTAAAGCAAAGCCTACTTCAGTTAATTCTATGAACTATAACAGCCAAGTAAAAGGATTTGAAAATATTTCACAGAACAAGAAATATCTTTTCGCATTTGTATTTGACATTATTATATTATTTAAAATTCTTCAAATTTATTTACTCACTCATAAAGTGAATATCAATTATGTTCAGTACTCATATCACAATCAGACATCACATTGTTAATCGCCAGAGTAGCTCAGTTGTGAGGCTTGTCAGTTCTGACTGACTGACTAAATGAGTTTTTTCTCCAAAGCCATAATCTCAAACAAATATATTGTAGTATTCCTTTCTACAGTCAGTCGTAGAAAAAGTATAGTACGTATCTCGACGATGAGGCCAACTACGTCCACTCGCGAATTATCGCACTCGGCTAACGCCACTTACAATTTTTCGCTCTAGGGACACTATTTTGTCCTCTTAAGGAAAAGTGTTTTCAATAGATATTTTACTGATTTTTGTCGTCCAGAACACTTTGATGAAATTTTCAAATCAAGATACGCGACTTCGAATATGTGCTTTTGTCGTGAGTTGATGTGACTTCATAAGATAAATGGTATAGAGGGTACAACATCCTAACTATGTCGTCAGATTCAAATGGAAATGTATTCGGACCTGGATAGTAATTCACCACATGTGGATCCAATCATAGTTATCGAATATTTTAATAAGAATAAAGACTAATCTTATGATATTTCAATTAAATTTTTTTGCAGTGATGACAAATGATAGTGAAGCGATATATTTGAATTTTGTCCACTCTCTTCACTAATAGGTATCTATATAAATATATTCATTTCATTTTTACTTTGGATCAAAATGTGAATGTGTATTTGTATTAAAATAATCCATGCAACAAATACAACTGTAATCAATAAACTCCTCTCTCAGCATATCTGTTTGCGAACATTTGTTAACCTAATTTATTTTACCAGTGTGAAGGTAGCCATGTGTTTTCATCCATGTGTTTGGTGAAAGAGAGGCGAGCGCGCTATTCCGCCATAGGTCGTTTCACTGAATTCGTTTAGAACCTATTTCGAAATTTCAAATCGTTTTTGTTGATGCACAAACATATCATTATACCCACTTTCACCGATACATGAAGGATTTTAGGGCAGGTGAAGTATCTATCAGTAAAAATCAATATGATCGGATTTATTAATCAGTGATACTATTGTTTTTTCTGAAGGAAGATTATTACAGTGACCTTTTCTTGTTAATTGAAACATAATTCTTACATTTTCAAAATATATGATAGATTTTTCAAATGATTCTGATATTGAGTCAGAGCTTTCTTTCTGGTTTTTTTGGCCGTGGTCTGCGGATTGTTTTGTCTGACGTTTCATCTACTAATGCGGTATATATCATCAAAGGGGGTGAGTCAACAGCCACAACAAAAAATGGGTAATCAAAACGTCTTCCTTAGGAACTCAACCACCTGAAAAAATGATTTCAAAGGGAATGAGTATAACGGAGGAAAATTCGAGCGAACCATAAAACCCAGGAGTGAGAATGCTAAAGTAACCTTAGCTAGGCTAGTCAAGGGAAAAACTTTCCTTTGCTATGTTACAAATGTTACAGACCAGATTGGAAGAAAAACGACATGAAACCAATATTTAGGCCAACAAAAACTATCAGAAAAAGTATAAGGTTAGCTAAGGAACCTTTAGAAATACCCAGGGTATACCGGCTTCCTATAGCTGCGGGTCGGTATACATAGAAACTATAAAAGAAAGTATAGGTACCCGTCTCTCTGAACCCAAGAGAGATTGCCGCCTCAAACAAATCAGGTGTAGCCGAACAAACTCTCTGAAAAGAAGGCAGTTGGAGATACGGTACATTCGGAGATACAGTACATTCGGAGATACAGTACATTCGGAGATACAGTACATTCGGAGATACAGTACACTCGGAGCTACAGTACATTCGCAAATACAGTAATACTCGATGAAATTCAAAATAACTATTCAAGATTATATAGAGAGATAATATGAATTTGAAAACACACAGATAATTTCAATAGAAAAGATGAGGCAATTAACATCAATGAAATATGGATACTTGCCATCAATTGGTCACAAACAAGTTGCGGTATATGTAAAATCCTAGTGAAATACCATCATTGTAGTTTCTGCGTTGGGAACAACGCAGAAACTTCGACCGTTTCCTCATCGCCTTTGATAATGTTTACCGCAGTAGTAGACGAAACATCGGGTATAAAAACCTGCAGACCAAGGCCAAAAATACCGAAACAAAGCTTCGATTCAGTTATCTCCGGCCGTAAAAGTTTAAATTCTGTAATCGCGACATTATTTTCAATATTGTGTACAGGCATTTCCTCACAAAGAATAGACATGTACACTAGAAATGAAGAGGATGTACTTTCCAAATAATCTTCTACCAGCAGAATACCCAACCTAAGCCTACTTTCACGTTGATTTTGGTTTCGAGTAATAAAAACAGCATTCTATTACTTCTTTGAGGATTCTTTATCAAGATGTTCCAATATCTGACGGACTCGAACATTCTCAGATGCGTTTTCCACGATGACTCTTAATCAATTCATAGTGGCACTGCTGATGAGCAGAAAAAACGTGAAAACCGTTATCACGGAGATAGCTGAACGTTACAGATATCTTTGAAACATTATAGATACCTGAATTGATACCTGAATACGACAGAGAAGGAAAAGTATGCCATTTACGAAAATAAGCGGACTGTAACAGATCGCTAGCTACCATACTGAACATACCATAGAGAACGGCCACAGGATGACCACGTAGGAATGACAACAATAAATTGATGGATGTAGCCGTTACTACGTGTAGGAATGAACTTGCATTACAGCTTGTATTGCATCAGTTTTTAAATGTTCTTATAGGACGAAACTGCAGTGAAGTTAGTTACAAATATATGTTATAAAATACATAGAAAGTTTCATTTCCCATTTTTCAGAATGACAACAAGTTGAGAAATCGCAAAATGGGAATGGAATCTACATGCACGGTGAAAAAGGTTCGTTTCCTAACGGCTTATTAGACGTTTTCTTACGTAATTTCAGGTAGAAAACAGGTAAATAATCAGTAAGATAGTAAATAGAAATAATAACAATATTCTGGAAATCAATTCAATAATATTTTTCTACTCTCTCTATTTCAAACACTAATCATTATCCGTTTGACAGCAGATAGGTAAAGGCTGATTTAGAATACATGTGTATTCTACATTAATGGCGACCACTTCTGTGAGAATTTTTTTAAAATAATGAGATATGTAACATTTACCCTGATAAATATGATCTCATGAATACATTCAATTGTCCAAAAGCCAAAACTCAGTAAATTTTCCCTACAAATTTTGTGAAAAATCGAAATAATCATATTTTCAGTGAATTTATTGTTCAACAGTTTGTGGGTTGGTAATGAATCTATTTGTATCCGTGTATCAACAATCATTTGTTTTAATTATGAGCTGTCATTCAGTATCTCGTAAAAATTCAAAATAAGTGATAATGATCAAGAAATTTGTGCTACCTCACCAGATATCACTAAGCAAGCAAATATTACAGTGAATAATTTGCTGCGAGCAAAATCAAGAGAAAAATACGAATAGAATTTCGGAAATTTTATGAGTTGGAGAGAGAAGAAAGACATAACTTTGTTTTCCGAAAATGTTCTTCTCGTTTATTTCGAAGATTTACCAAAAACTTTGAAACCATTGTCATCATGGGCAATTTATTCAATGCTAAGAAGTATCCTGAATATCAAGAAAAATGTTGACATCAGCAAATATTCCAAATCACGTGACTCTCTTAAACGCAAATCTGATAGTTATAAACCGAAGAAATCGTCGACGCTCACCAGTGAACAAATAAATCCATTAATTAAGGAAGCTACAGATGGAAAATATTTGTTTCCGAATGTACCAGAACTCCGCTATTTCCTTTTAATGATTTTTTATTGAATTTTTGCAACAATTTTTGAAATACTGAGACAAAAAAAAGATTAAAACTGAATTATTCTACCGTACCAGCCAATTAGCTAATGCAATTTCATTTGTCAGACGCATCTAAAGCAAAGCCTACTTCAGTTAATTCTATGAACTATAACAGCCAAGTAAAAGGATTTGAAAATATTTCACAGAACAAAAAATACCTTTTTTTGGGAAAGTTTTTGGCTTTCTACTACTCCATCTGATACAAAAATTAATCACTTCTAAAAATATAACTCCTTCAATTCAAATAAGATGTTTTGAATTGTGTAATACATAAGTATACTTATATACTTCTATAAAATACTTTTTGGGGACCTTTTTACTCTCCATACTTCCACAGCATAGTCAGACGAATACAAACTACTAAAGAATTATTGAACTTTCACACTACTTACACAGACACATCTGAAAGTGATGGCGATTCCTAGCCGGCTTCGCATTTCGTATATCTGGTGACGTCACGGCCCCTTTCACTGAACCGCTCCTTTGAGGCTGTTTCCTGAAGCATCCAAATCGCTCAGATATTTTATCCGCTAATATTCTTCAAATTATGTGCCAATTTCATTTCTGAAATAAGAGAAGAGTTAAAATGGCCTCATTACCTCATTTAATTTCAGTGAAAATTTCTCAACCAATTTCTTGTGAAATAACCGTTTCATTATCGTACTCCAGAAAAAAACAATGGAGTTACAATACTTGGTAATTTGCTGCAAGTAAGGCACAGAAATCTAATGTGATGTTTCTTTTACAGTTTCGATGTTGAAAATGGAGCAAGTCCTGGCAGAAGTCCTCTTGATGGGGCCGCCTCTCCATCAGCTGGGTTGGTTCTGCAGAATCTCCCGCAAAGAAGAGAGAGTTTTTTGTACAGATCCGATAGCGACTTTGAGATGTCTCCGAAATCCATGTCTAGGAATTCCTCCATAGCGAGTGAAAGGTAAGTCCAGACTAAATAAATATTCGCGAATTCCACTGAGAATCATGGTTTGTATGGAAATTTTATGCCAAATTATGAACTATTTCATACAAAGGAACATACCTACTCGAATTTTCCTTAATATACGAAAGTTATACCAAATTGTCGAAACGTTATGTGAATAACTGCATTGAAGCTCTGGAATTTGAATTTTGAATGTTAAACACACATGTTGGACACACATCCTGTATAGACGTGTGTCCACTAGCCCCATATTATGGAGGTGTTTCCTTAGTTGACAGTGGCCAGTCAGAAAACCTACTGTCAAACGTAGATTTATCCTGGTCATCGTCAGATATTTCTTTGGCGCCAGCTTCCCAGGGTCGCCCAGGGTGATCATGGCAAGATTGAACCCTTTGATTTCATCCCATCTCTTCAGAAATTGAGCATGGGTGTAACGTTTGGCTAGTTCCACAATTGTCGAAGTCATCAGGCCGTAGGTGCCACTGGGTTCTGAAATTTTTAGTACAGCCGCTTCCGTGGCTAAAGAGTCGGCAGCGATTACCTTTACTCCTGTCGTGCCCTTTAATCTACCTCAGGATAATGTTGTTATCTACCGAGGCTTCGGCTAAATCTTGGTGGCATTCTAGTACTAGCCCTGAGGTAACACGTTGTCTGTTAAAGGGTAATAGGGCTTGTCTGCTATCAGTACAGATTGTTATGGTTTTGCCAGGAATTTCTTTCGTGGTTATTTCTTTTGTGGCGATTGAGATACCGGCCAGTTCTGTTTGAACCACGCTGGTATTTTTCCCATTCCCCACCTAATCCTCAGGCTTAGTGATCTGGAGTACATTCCACATCCGGAGCATTCTTTAGTTTTGGGCCATCTGTATCTATGCGTATTGCATTTGTAGCTTCTGACTCTGTGTTCTCTTTCATTTATATTTTGTAGGGTTCATTAAACACAGATCTGGGTTCGATTGCATCACTGGTTGCCTGCAGCAGAGGTTGCTCTGTCTCGTGAATGAAGCCTCAAGAGAGGAAGAAACATCACATGTACCAATACTCTAATAGAGATCAAAACGTGCAGCAGTTATTAATTAACAATCTTTTTCTTATACGAAGGTTTCATATATGCAGCGGTGCCGCGTAGAAATCAATCAACTTCAAGGCACTTTGCTGTCTGTGGTCGGATCTTTCCTACACTGATGAGAGGTAATACCTCGAAACTGAACTGTAGGTGAATAATCTCAGCATGGTCTTGCTGATAGATGAACGAGAAACATCTCCGAGACAAACCTCTGTGAGGTATCTTGCATGAATGTCTGTCGGATATGATTCAATATCCAGCGTGCTATTAGCCGGGGAAGTAGTTGTTTTTCCCGGCAGGCTTTCACCAGAACCTACTGTAGACGTGGTTCTCTCTCAAGAATATGCCCCTTTCAATTTAAATATGTACTTTTTTCAAATATTGTTAATTTGGTAAAATACATATTTTTTGTAGATATCAATTTATAATGTCATAATGGAATCAGTTAAAAATACGGTAGATTTCACTATGAATTATTCATTTTCAGTCAAAAAGAATCGGTGTACATTGTATCTCATGTTATCCCAGCCACTGAATATTTTTTCAAACAATAACTTTCACTTCATCAGTTCGGACTTCCATTGTCTAGTATGATATAAATTGTTTGTTTGAAGGTGGTTGACAATGTTTCGTGATGTATTTAATCAGTTCGGACTTTCATTGTCTAATATAATATAAATTGATTCTAAATCCCTGAAAAAAATTAAAAAGATTAACCGAAAATAACAATTT